GCCACTTTCCATCCCAGGGCCCTCTCTCCGTCGCCCCCATCTCTGACCCTCGCTGTCTCAGCAAAGTGCCTGAGCGAGTCACGACCCCTCATCTCCCCAGCCCCTCTCACGCGGTGTCCTGGATCCAGGTCAGCCTGGGCTTCCCTCCTGCAGCATGGAATCTCTCTCCTCCCTGGAGTTAACCGCCTCCTCTCCTGAGCTGACAAAGGGTCCTTCTTGCTGACCTCACAGCAGCCACTGTTCTCTGGCCCACGTCACAGCTATGCTGGGATCTCCGTGCCCCTCCTGAGCTACCAGCTAGTTCTCCATCCCTCGGGGGGGCTCCTGCTCTGCCCCACGAAGTCCATTCTCGGCCCTTGGCTCTTTACCATCTTCTCCCTCTAACCACTAGCTGCTATTTTTGTTCAAATTATACGTGATTGTACAGAACTTTTAACACCTTTAATGAACCCTCCATGCCTGACTTGATCAAATAAACCGCTCTGCTTCCTTCAGGCCCAAAGAGAAGCGCTTCCCTTTGCCACGGGGGCTGCTTCAAGCACAGCAAAACAGATTTGGAAATGGACAACCATAAAGGGACAACTCAGCCCTAGTAACCCACACTATGTCTATTGCAGGGTCCCGGCTCAGGATCAGGTCTCCACTGTACAGCGGGAGGCTCGGGCCCTGCCCCACAGAGTGTTCAGTCTAAGAATACAAAGTAAGTGAGGCTTTCAGTCACAATTAAATGGCAAAAACCTTCATTAACGCAGGGTTAAGGTTCAGCAAAACTCAAACTTCTGAAAACCACGAAATACCGACTTGCGGTGCATGGCCACTCAACCTTCCCTCTGCCCCCTGGAGCTGGCAGTAGCCATGGGCAATTCGCTGCAGTGGTGGAGGAATACGGTGGAGCAGCTTGGCAGAGCTGTGATGTGACAGGAGGATCTGGGACTGAGCCCTATTACCAAAGACAAGAGGTGCATGTGTACCTTGATGTTCCCATCTGCACCACTTCAACACAGAATTGTGTAGGTTGTCAGCAGTGGGGCACTGGGGTTTTCTTGCCATAGGTATTGTCAGGAGCGAGGTGGGACATGAGTGTCTGTGGATTTAATGATGGGGAGGGAAAAGTAAAGGGTTAGGTGGTAGCCCGGGTGCAAGTGGAAAGGGATTGTAAAAGGGTAATGAAGTGGTTGTTAAATGTTACAAGTGAGGTATTCTGTAGGGGGGTAGGCTCAGTGTTTGAGCACAGGGCATGTGCAGACAGCGCCTGTCCATCACAGGGACAAGGCAGATTTGGACTGTGATTTATGGGTGTATCGGGGCATCGCTCAAAGAGGCCATAGTTAAGGCTGCCTGGGCGTTTACCTTAACTCAGTATTTCCTGGGTTTCAGAGGTGGAGTTTTGCCAAATTCGACGTTCTGGAAGGGTGTGATCCAGCACCAGGCAACCTGAACTCTGCGTTAACTAAGTTTTGGCCATTTATCTTCCTAGTTTTTTAAAGAGAAAGAGAAATGTTTGTTGGTAAGAGTTACTGGTCATTTAGACAGCAGTAGTTCTCCCTTGGGTTTGCAGCTGACATGCTACTGTGGCTAGGTAACAATCAAAAGATATAGGTTTTATACATAGTGAGTTCTCAAAGAGCTCATTTTACACATGGGAAACTGAGGCACAGAGAGGTGAAGTGACGTGCCCAAGGTCACCCAGCAGGCCAGTGGCAGAGCTAGGAATAGTCCTAGTCCAGTGATCTGTCTATTAGGACACAGGGTTCTCTGTGACTCCTTAGGGCTCCTCCTCTCTCCTGTACATATAGTTATAGTGGAAAGAGGATCATGGTCATGCTCTGAAATGTTTGCAACCCTCCCACCTTCTCCACTCCCACTCCTTCCCCCTTAACTGAGCCCTCCAACTTTTCTTCCTTCCCCTACCGCCCATTCCCATTTATCCCCCTCCCCAGAACACCCCCATCCCTCACTGCGACCCCTATTACCACCTACTCTTGCCCCTCTAATCACTGCCCCCCCCGTGAGCATTCGCATGTGTAATTCATTTTCTTCTCAAAAATCCATTCAGCACATCTGAGTATTCTGCTGTACTCAGACTGCATTTCTTAAAAACCCCCAAATCAGATCCCCACCACCTTGACAGGCAGATTTCCCCCAAATGATTACGATTCTTTCAGATTTCTGCCTAGGGTGGGTTCCAGACGTCACAATTAGAGGCTCCGAGCGGTGGTAATGGCCCATTTATCTCAATGCGATGTTCTCAGATGACAGGGAACACCCCATGGAGATGAATACAGCCTGAAACAGCAGCCCTGAGACACAGGAACTGCTCCATTTCTGGCAGTGGGTGTTCTCATCTCTGCACCTTCGGAGCCTAGCACAGCTGTTCTCAGCTCCTCTCCCCAGCCAGCCTAAACAGTGTGTCGGTGTGTGCTCTAAGCCTCATGCCAGAGGGGCAGGGCTTCCCTAAACCCTCCTAGCTCACATGAGGGGGGTCAGAAGCAGGGTTCAGATACCCACACAGGAGCAGTGACCCCCAGATCACATGATTGGATTTAGGAGGGGGGTGCAGACACTCCCAGAAAGGCAAGACCCCTCCAAAACCTGGGTCACATGAGGGGGGCAAAGAAATATGGGGGTCACACCCACATAGATGAGCAGCCCCCCCAGATCCTGACACACATGGGGGGGGGAGGGAGTGGAGCTCAGACACCACTGGAGGAAGCAGTGACCCTCAGATCCCAACTCACATGGGGGGCAGGGAAAGGGACTCAGACCCCCCCCCCAGAGGCAAGCCCCTCCAGCACCTGTCTCATTTGAGGGAGTCAGTGAAGGGGAAGTCACACCCACATAGATGGGCTGGAGCCCCCCAGATCCTGGCACACACATAGGAGAGGAATGTGGGGCTGCCAGGTGCCTCTGCCCCTACTCTCCCCCAGGCTCCCTGTTACTCACCCCTCATGTCCCGCTTCCCAGTGTCCCACCCCTTCCTCCTCTCCTCTCCCACTCCCTCTACTCCCCATCCCCTGCTCCTCCAACCCTGCTCCCCCTATTCTTCCACCCCTAAGAACTCTCCCCTCCCAGGGAGCCTTGGCGTGTGTAGTTTACTTTCTTTCTAGTTTCAGCGCCTTCTGAATACTCGGCTGTCCTCAGATGACGTTTCCCCAACCTAACGATTGCCTGGGACAGAGGCAGACTGGAGCAACGTGCCTGCTTTTTTAACTGCCCGTTCCTCCCTGGGTTGGATCTGAACTCCCAGTCCCTCACTGAGCAGAACACGTCCTCAGAACCACTCAGCCTCTCTCCGGACATGTGCAGCGGAATTCATTAAGGGGGTCGATTAGCACATGACACTTGTGACGTGTCTAACTGGTGAAGCAATGCTTTTTCAAATCATGTTCTCATTTGATTCCCCCGAGGGCTGGTGGGTGCCAAGCCCTCTATTGGGGTAACCCTCGAGCGCTGGACACGCTGGAGTGAGGATCTGAGCTCTACCTGTGAGCAAAAAAAGGTCCCCAGAATCTGCAACCATTAAGACAAGCTGTTTTTCCCCAGGGAGTTCTATCCAGGGAATCCGTGGTCAAATGGCCCCAAATCTGGATGATTTACAGAACCCGGCACTCCGGGAGACCCAACATGGCAATCCGAGTAGTCGTGTCAAGAAAGCTGGTCTTGCCCATAGTTATTGTAGAGCGGTCACTGCTATATTACAGCCAACTAAGCTTAACAGACAAGGGGTCAGAACCTACGGCTCAGGGCCTAGGCTCCAGAGAAGGACAATACATCTAGACAGAGAGGGTTTTAAAATGGTGCTGCATCCTTTGTCCTAGCTTTGGCCTGTAAACTCTCAGAGGCAGGAACCGGCTGTATATTCGATATGTGTCAGGCACTAGATGTGTCTGTCAGCGGGGTACGCTCTGCCAGGCGCGGGCTACACACACTGCATGGGGACTGATCTCCTATCAAACTTCTGTTTGCTTTTACACTGGGGCCCTCCTCTGCCCCCCGAATCCTCTCTTCCTCCCACATTTCCTACGCCTGGAAACCTGCCTATTGCCGCCTCCTCTTCTCTGCCGGAATCAGCCCCGGCTTCACCTCCTCCTGTGTTGAAATCTCCATTCCCTCTCACCTTGCCTACTGCAGTTCCCTGGGCTAGCCTCTTCCCACCATGCTGTGCTGCCATCACTTTGATTTCCTCTCCACTGTAAGCTCCTCAGGGCAGGAACTGAGTCACTTCCTTTACCTGCAAAGTGCAATGCACACCCAGGGCGCTAGCTCTCCTCGGGCCACACACACATGCCCCCAGACTCGGACACCTCTGCTGGCTGCCCAGGCACTCCACGCCACGGGCTTTCCCCAGCCTGTCTCACAGACCACCCATCCTGCACCAGCCTCCTCTCCGCCTATTCAACACGACCCCCCAGTGCCGGCGGAAAGGCCCTCTCCTCTGCAGCTCCTGCCATTCGGAGGAGATTTCTGCATCTCTCTGCCAGAGTCTAATGGACTCTGAGACCATCTCTTCCTCCCTCTCCTCTGTGCTGTCTGCACTGCAGTGTCCAGAGCGTTCGACCTCTCAGCACCTCGCTCGCAGCCAGGGCTTAGCATTTCATTCGCCCTATAAGGCTGGCCAGGGTGTTGTGTGTATGACAATCACTAGAGAAAGGGACAGACTGTATGTGCGCATGGGCTGTCTGAGTGCATGGGTGTGTGACTCTCTGGGGGATTATTAGAAGTGTCGAAGTGTGCATGTCTATATGCCAGTGTGTGTACACCAGTGCATGGCTGTGAGATGGGGTGAATGGAAGCGTGGGTATGAACGAGTGGGCCTATGAACATGGGACTGGGAGTCTGAGGTCTGGGCACGCCCTGTAACATGTCCAGCAGCACAAAGCCCAGGGGCTCTGCGCCTCCCACACATCATTTCAATGTCACAGTAAACACTGCCCAGAAGCAAAGCATGTCCGTGCCCCTCGCTCCGCCCCCCAGAAGGAAGTTACACCCATGCCACGAACCTTGTCAAGCTGGGATGCCGATGGATTATCAGTCTGTGGGGAGAAAGGTAAAGGAGAGGAGGGTGTTAGCAAACAGCCACATCATTCAGTACATCAGAAGCTGCCAGCCGCCCCGTGTGGGAAGCAGACGCTGCAGCAGCAGGGAAATCCCCTTCCCCTTTGCAACATACTGAGGCCTCAGGAAAGGGCCCCACACCTTGGAGCCCCCCTCTGCTCAGTGAGACGGAAGATGATGGATGCTTGTGCCCATCAGCCAAGGGCAGCTGCACCACCAGAACCTGAGCAGATACGGACGAGGAGGGGGGTTATTTTGGGGTAGGGAATTATCCACTTGTTTTTTGTGAGAAGCCGGTGTCCCTCACTCCCTGGCTTCTAGTCTGTTCTCCACTGCTTGCCCAATAGCCGTAACCCCCCAGACTGTGGCCCTGAGGTTTGTCACTCCTTCACCATAGCTGGAAAGGGGACAAGGACCTGGCAGAGGTGGGCTTCGAGCAGGCTCCCTCCCTGTGACTGAGTGCTGTCGCCACGGCGTCTATGCCACCAATCCAGTGTGGAGACAGGTGCCTGCAACCCCTGCCACAGAAGCATTTCCTGCCAATGCCTCCCACGCTGTGCAGCGCTCAGACTGTGCCCCCCCTCCCCGCCCCAGCTCATACCAGCCCTGACAACCATCTTGCAAAGAACTCAGACAAGAGGCTGCTTTGCATTCCCCAAGCGTGTTTGTTCAGGGCAGGAGCCTGGCTCTCCTGGAGAGCCCTGTGCACTCTGCAGTCAGGCCTGACATTCCCCTTGTTCTATGGCTCACACCAGGATCTACGCAGCTACCGTGCGGCTCTTGTGCCTTGCAGGGCGCCAGTCCCTTAGCACTGGCAGCTCCGGGATGAGGCCAAGGCCAAGAACACACCGAGGTGGACATTCCACATTGCAACCAGCTGATGCATGGAGGGGCCTTCCCTCCGCGGGACCCACTACCTACTGTCTCCCTTTGAGGCCTCGGAATAGAACTGAAGGCTGTAGGTCGGGGGGGACCAAAGGGCAGTCCAAGAAAATCCACAGCGTAGTACACACCAGCTCTCAGCCCATGGACTACAGGCCACAGCATCCAGTGCTCCAAACAGCCTGAGGAATGAATTCCCATCCCAGCATGAAATGGGACCAAGTCTGTTGGGTCAGAAGAGAGCAGTGCATGCTGGGACGAGCAATCTTTACTCCTAGACAGGAAAGATGCAGCTGCTGCCTCCATGCAGGACAGAGGCAGGCCCTGGGCTTGTGGCAAAGCCCCCTGCAGCCTGGATCTCTTTACTCTGGTTTGTTTTTAGTTTAATCGCATCATGTTTGTCTTGGTTCTCCTGGCAACCAAGAGAAAAGGAACGATCCCATTGGGAAGCAGAGAAAGGGCAGGGGCTTGGGGACCAAATGTGTCGTAACAAGCTCTTCAATCCAGCAGAGACCCGCCTAACAAGATGCAGGGAGGGGAGGTGGAAGTTAGACACATTCAGGCTGGAAAGAAGGTGCCAGTGTTTAAGAGTGAGGAGAATTAACCACGGGAACAACTTACCCTTCTCCAGCCCTGGCAAGGTGAAAGCAAGACTGGATGGTTCTAAGAGATCTGCTCTAGTTCAAACCGGAGTGACGGGATGATCACAGTGGTCCCTTCTGGCCTGTGGATCTAGGACTAGCCCTGCAGTCCAGACACCCTCCAGGCAGCTTCCTGCACGCTCCCCTCTGTGTGCAGGAGTCCCCGGGACACAGCCAGAGCGAGAGGCCAAAGGACCTTGCTGGGACTCTCCAGCACTTTGATTAGCCCCGAGAGGCAGTTTGGTCTCTAGGCTGGCAGGCAGGAAACCTGGCTTATATCGGCAGCTCTGCCCCGGAGCAGCTGTGGGACCCTAGGTCAGTCTGTTCCCCTCTCCCCTTCGCCTACACTGACTATCAGCTCCTGGGGCACGGCCTGTCTCACTCTATGTCCGCACAGTGCCTAGCCCAACCACGGGGCCTCTGCCTGCTCACATAAGGCAAAAAGCGGAGTCCTGGCTGCATTCTGGCCGGCTCAGGTGCGCTCCTGCTTGCCCAGATCCGAGAGAGCGGGACAGTGACTCAATGGAAGGCTTTCCTCCTCCAGGCTTCTCACTCAGCTCCTCCCACTGTTTGTCAGCAGCCCCTGGGGATTCCCAGTGCATGGAGAGTGGGGTACGGGAGGGAGGGACCCAATGAGGCAGGAGCCAGAGATGCACGGATTCATTGTGTGACATCAGCACATGGTGAACCTGGAGGACCTGCCCTCTGGGGTCTGGTTAGGGACAAGAAAACAGCCTGAGAGTGAGAGGAACAGACACACACAGGAAAAGAACCTGATGCAGAAAGGCAAGCCACCCAAAACCACAAGAGGCCCCAGGCCACCAGCACACGGACAGAAAAGACGACTCCGCCTGCCCCCTGGTGCCCCCTGTCCAAGCTCAGATCTCCTCGGCCATCGGCTGTTGGCCATGGCAGCTGCCAGCACCGATCCCTGCCAGAGGGCAAGGGCAGAAGAGCAGCACACAAAGGAGGGTCGCAAGGAAGCCATCCCCTTGAGGCACTGTGACCTGCACTTGAAAGCAGAGATGGTTAGCAGAGCCCAGCAGCCGGGCGTTCCCGAGAGTCCAGCACAGCCCGGGGAGCGCCACCAGAGGGGAGGAGACAAATGCTACTTAACAGGACAGCGGCATTTGAGGCCCCACGTTCCGGTTTTGGAAAATAACAACCAGTCTCATGAACATACATGGTGCTGGCCCACGGGGCCCTAAGCAAGGATATTTTGGGGCTCCCTCTTACCCCTCATCCACCCCCGAAAATACTGCTTACATCATTCCACAAACCAAAACAATAGCAACCCAACACACACTTCTTCAGTAAGTACAGTCACACGAATCGGGGCCCCGTGAGCTGCTTGGGGCCCTGCGCCACTGCTTCGTCCGCTTCTGCCTAGCGCAGCCACAGCTCAGCAATACGACTCCTTCTGAAACCAGCTGGTGTTTGGTTTTGAGCATTCCCAGGCAGCCTCCACAACCCAAACACAACAAGGCCGGGCTGGGGGGCAGGACAGTATGGACCCGAAACTGACTAGAAACAGGAAATCACACTGACCGCTCTAGTCTCACTGACCACAGTGAGTGAAAATGGCCTCAGTGGGGAAAGGTTACAGTCATTTAGCTGAAACCTTGGTTTCCATCATTTGTGTGGTCACTGGCATAGAGACAACGGCCCAGGCTCTGCTCTCATTTCCCCTCTGTAAATCGGGAGTGAGCTCCCTGGAGCCAGCCCTGCGCCTCAGCAAGGACAGCAGGGAACCTGGCCCAACGCTGACTAAAACAGAACAAAAGAATGGTAACCTGTCAGTTACCTTCATGCACGACTGCCTGTGCTGGCTCACCCTGGAGCACGCAACCATATTCTCCACCTTCGCTCCTACCCCTGTGCCGGGCAGACTTACTTGAAGGCCCAACAGAAACATTTCCATGGAGATACAGTTCCTACGCGGGGGCCATTTCAAAGAATGCTGTCTAGCGTTTGGCTCTGCTGCCCCGCAGAGTTCCCAGAAGCCCCTGCTGCTCACGAGGGCAAGGCCAGAGGGGGGGTGGGGGGCTTTGGAAAGACAGAATGAGACTAGAATGGAGGCAGATCCTTCCTGCTGCAACCCACATCCTGGCCTGACCTCCTGAGTGCGCACCACACCGCCCTGAGCTTTGCTCTCAGCTACAGACTCCTCTTGACAAGGCTGCGAAGGGCTATCCGGGGACAATTACTGGTGCTGTCAGGAGCTGGCTCGCCTGTCTGTGAACGGCCCAACTGTGCGCTAAAGGCCCTGCACTGCTCACCGCTAAGAGTCTCTTTTAGTTCAAGCGGGAGGGCCTGTGCTGTCCCCAGGAGGTACCGTGATCAACGGACAGTCACCGATTTGTTACTTGAACCATTTGCTGCCCCTCCATCTAAGAGACTGGTTCAAATACAAAGGCCTCATCCAACCATTTCCTCGCCTACCCCGGTGAACAGGCCAGCAGCACAGCTCGACTGGAAGGCTCTCCCTGCTCCGGAGGGCCGGGTGCTCCTCTGAAACCTGCGGCTGTGATGGGGAGCCAAGGGGAGGGGAGAGGTGTCAGCTTCAGCGGAGCTGCCACCAACATGAGAAAGCTGTCATAAGAGTGAGGGATCAAACAGCTTGGGGACACATGAGTGGGGGGAGAAATCTGCGGCCGGGCTGAATCCCACGGGGATTTGGCGATGCTCAGACCACTTGGTGCCGCTCCCCTGCCCAGCCCTGCCCCACGGAGACGAAGCGCACTGTGTCACTGTTACCTACGGCCGGCAGAACGTACCCCTCGCAGGGTGAAGCAGAATCCGGGTCCTTACCTCCCTTTTCCATCTGGCCAGCCACTCGTCTCGCTTCCTCTTGCTGATGTAGTACGGGTCCCCGGCCTGGAAGGTGAGCCGCTGCATGGGCCTCTGACGCAGGCTTGACTCCCAGCCCAGCCCGCCACGCAGGCGGCCTCGGGATCCCTGCTTGCAGACAGTGAGAGAGGAGAGAGACAGGCTGAAAGGGGCTGGCTTTTCTGCTCACAGCTCTGGGGACATGGGGGCCTGGGGCTCGCTGGGGAAACAAGGCAGTGAGGGAGGAGCATGAGTCCATTGAACAGGGGGTGGACGACCACGGGACAGAGCAGGGAAGGGACTCACCCACCCCGGGCCATGCAGTGAGCCAGCAGCAGAGCAGGGAATAGATCCCAGGCTCCTGACTCCCAGGGCCAGGGGCAGGGCCATGTCACTGCCAGAGCGTGAGGCACACAAATCCAGGCCAGGTTTTACCTGTGGCTACACCAACTCAAAAGCATAGAATGTCAGGGCTGGAAGGGACCTCAGGAGGTATCTAAGTCCAACCCCCTGCTCAAAGTAGGCCCAATCCCCAGACAGATTTTTGCCCCAGATCCCAAAATGGCCCCCTCAAGGATTGAACTCACAACCCTGGGTTTAGCAGGCCAATGCTCAAACCACTGAGCTATCCCTCTCCCCCATACTAGCTCTGGGGCTAGAGCAGGGTGCCAGGACCCTTGCGTCCCCTTAGTTCGTCCACTGGGAGGGGGGAGGTTTCTGCAGCTCCCACTTTTGAGCGTTGGCCTCTCCCAGGACGGGTTCTAGCAACGCAGCGGCTGGGAGGCTGAGCAGGATCGAGCTGTAGGAATTACCCTGGGAAGCGCCAGCCCAGCCCATGCCGGATGCCAGGCGGCCGGGGCGCAGCGCTCACCCCAGAGCCCGTAGCGGAACTGGCAGTCAGACCCATTCCATCAGAAATTCTCTGCCACCCTCCTACAGGAGTGCATTACCGAGACAGAGACGGTTAGCACTGAGACCTCCTGGATACCCAGAGCCAGAGCTAAACCTACACTAGCCAGATCCCACCGTAGACATCTGTGCAGACACATCTGCAGTACGGGCCTGGGACGGCTCCAGCAATCATGTCCCGATATGTAGCAGAGGCTCTGGGATCGGGGCCTCACTCTGGAGCGAATGGGCTCTGGAATGAGTCCCCTGGGTCTCTAGAGGGCTCTAGTGTCCAGGCCCCCATGTGCTGACCCAGGCCCTGTAGAGACGGCTGCACTGTACCTAGCCAGCCTCTCACGCTCAATGCAGCAGCTTCCTGTACCTGCCCGGGGGGTTGGACATGCCCTCCCCAGATGCCAGGCTGCAGCCTGACAGGAACTTGGCCATGGATTCTGCCAGTGCTCTTGCTTCTGGAGGGCAGGAGTCGCGGCTCCCAGCCTGACTTAGCTCTGTGGCTTAGGCAAGGCAGGGCAGTGGAGTCCCCAGGGCGGCAACCCTGGCACATACTTGCCTCCATTTTCAGGGAGTCATAGTTAGCTTCTTCCTTCTCGTCTTTGCCTGCAAACACAGAGCACAGAGAGCGCACGTCAGCCGGGAGGGAGCTGCAGCCCAGCACACGAGGGGCTGAGCCAGATCCCAAGGGACCCAAAGGCCAGTTCAGAGCAGAAAGGCCAGCTGGGCAATACCACTGCACTGGCCTCCTGGAACCCTCTGCCTCTGGGAGCATCTACCCTGGAGTCACAGTTCACTGTGCCGGCCCTCAGCTACCCCACTGTCTCCCACTGCCCCCAAGGGGGGAGTCTCCTATGCCTTTGGCCTCCCATGCCTGCCTGACAATTCTGACTGTCTCTCTGCCGGGACACGTGCCCTTCCCCACCGGATCAGAGCAAGGGCTCCAGGCCCTCCTGTGCTCCTGGGAATGAGGTCTCCGGCGCGCCTTCCCTGGGCTGGGCTAATGGGGGGACAACTGCTCTCACTTTATAGTCTCCAACTCCAGCGGCCATGTCACGCGGCACCTAGGACTAGTGTTGCCTGGAGGCCTCGGGATGCCGCCAGGGTGGCGGTGACCCCTGGAAATGGGCACGCACCGGCTAGGGGGCAGGGCGAGAAGGGAAGTGTTCACAGCACTATGCAAAGGTTTCTGATTTCCTGTGTTATCAGTACATCTTGCTGCCTTGCAGGTACGTGCAGAGCTGCTGCTGGGAAAGCAGCTAAAAATAAAACCAACCGTTTCTGGGGCTTGACACGTTCAAAGCGACCATGTTCTGAGGCCAAACACAAGGGGGGGCTGAGTGTGAGTTACAGTGAGGGGCGAGGCGGGGGGGAGGTTCCGCCTTTTGGTAAAGGTGTATTTAGTGGTGGGGTTTTGTGTTCATAAACGCAAGGCTAAGGTACCACTGCACTGTACTCCCACAGCTCCGCCGGGGTCCCTCGATCCTGACTCACAGCCCCCCTGAACTTCCAGCCCCGGTCTCCTCAAACACAGCTCTGACGCTGCCCCTCAGCCCAGCCTGTCATTCCAGTCCTGTGACCCCCAGCCAGCTCTGCTGATTCCCCTCCAGCCACACAGAGTATCCCCCACCGTCGGGCCCTGGCCTAGCCCGGCTTTGCTGCTACACGCTCAGCCTGAGCGACACACGGCAGCCTGGGGCGTCTCTTGGGAAAGGCAAGCCGTGCACGCCGCGCTGCCCCAGCCGGGGAACTGGGCTTGGCAGACAAACGCCCACTAGGGCCTGGGCGAGACACTGCCAAACTCCGGGTCCCGTGGGACTCCTCCGCTTGCCCCGGGATGGATCCTGCCAGGGAAGGCAGGGAGGCTCCTGGGTGCGGAAGAGCTACCAGTCCGAGTGCACACACGCTGACAGAGTCGCAGTCCTGCTCGCCCAGTGCACACCCCTTTGCTGGCTCCCTACACACTGCCACACACGCTGACGGGGGCTGGGCCTCGCTCACAGATTCCCAGGGCTTGGGGCGCCCTGGCAGATTCCTCAGGCTCGGGGCCCAGGGGAGGGAGGGCGTTCCACG